GAATGCTATTGAAATCTGATAATTCTTGTAGTTATTGTGCGTAATTAAATTTTAAAATTTTGTGAACAAACTTGAGGCGAAATTTAAAGTAATCACCCTATTGATTTTAGATTTGTACACTGTGTTTTATGTTCACGAGACAAAGAAGTCAGATACTGGAACAGCAAAAGTTATGATTATGTTTTGTATAATATATGTTTATAGCGCTAGCAAAAACTAGACGCCAATAAAATTTTAAATATTTCATTTAGTTACTTCATGACTTACTTTTGTCTTTGATCAAAATTTATATGCAGTTCTTTTACGTGCATTCCATCCCAATAACTAGACGCTGCCCATCACAGTCCCCCCCCCCTCCCCCAACCGGCGACTTTCTGCACCACTGACAAGGGGAAACAACGCTGGAAAGTTTTGGGAACTGACTAGGTCAACACAGGGTTCAAACCCCGGACCTCCTGATTAGTGAGCCACGGACAAGGGGAAACCACGTCGAACTAGGATCAAACCCTGCGCCGCACGGGTAAGTGAGCCAGCCCTTGACTGAGTCACCGCGGCTCCCTTGCACATTGATGATGACACTTGCATACTAGCTGTACACGTACAATGCCCCCCCCCCAACTATAATGGATGACCTATGCTCATCTTCATTATTTGGGTTGGTGCAGAACATTAAAACTTTTGATTTTTTTTCTCTTCATTACAATATTGTCACTCCCATTACAGTATTATGTAGTTTTAACCATATCTATTTTAGTGAGAAAACTAAATATCTGTAGATGCTATGGTTCAGGTTAAATATTTGTTAGACCTTTAGCCTCAAATCCTATCTGAAAAAAGTCTGTACATATATAGGACCTTGTCTATAGTTAAATCCTATTCAGTTTATCGAATTAATTCTTTATACAAAATACCTTTACTAGTAATTATTGATATTTTCCATAAAGGGAGATAACTCCTTTTACCGTAAGGAGGTAGACCACCATTAATTTCCCTACCTCCAAATTTTCGTTGGGCTGAATGCTTTTCACTACAGACAGAGGAAAAAATGGTCATGTCTTTGCACTAAAATTTGTATGAGGTTGACCACCAAAATTTTGAGATACGCAAACTTGAAGAAGCATACTAAAAACATGTAACTAGTTGCCGTACATATCACCGTAGCCAACCTGATAACCTTCCGCCTCAAAATCATAAATATATACCAAAACCTGGTAGAAAATGTTAATTCAAACCCTCTTCGTCCATTCTAGACCAAAAAATCAACAAAAATGGGCATCTAAAAGTGGAGAAAAGAGACAGAGAGAGAAATGCTATAAATAGACGAACTACAATTTGTCCCGAGATGGTGAAATTTAATGGTGGTCTGCCTCCATAAATGGATTTCCGAAATTCTGTATGTTCCCATGTCCATTATATTTTTTGCATTTTTCGTACCACCAGGGCCCATAATCCAAGAAGTTACAGTCTGATATACGCCAATATCGCAAGGAAACGAGATCTTTGGGTTATAAACATACTTTATAAGTTTGATTAAAATCAAATAAAACTTGTGACCTCTAAAAGAGTCCACAGTAGTTTAAAAGTGTGTTTTTCCGACGAATCAAGGACCATATTCCATGAAATTATGGCCTATCGTAATGAATTAAGATCTTTGGGATATAAACCACATTGCTATCTCTATTTCAAGTTTTGTCAAAATCGGATAAAAATTGTGACATGTAGAGTGTCCACAAACAAAATGTGAACAGACGTCCAGATGGACAGGGGCGACGACAATATACGTCGACGTGAAAATGTGGGCGTATAAAAATAGATCAGTCGCTGCCGCAGTCCCCGGACCTGAACCCGATTGATTTTTGCCATCTTGGTAAAGGTTTATGAAACGAAGGATGCATGCTGTAGCGCCCCTGTGCTGTCAATATTTCACTCATATATACAAGTAGCACATTGGATGACGTAAGTCCATCTTTATTATACCGGGATTGTGAAGAAAAGTAGGACTTGAAACCCCATTTCATTTCACTGTTTTTAGAATGTATTTTAGTATTACCCCAGAGTATACTGTTTAAAATGGTCACATCTTTCATAAAGAAATGTTCGGGGTGGGCTCTGTGTACTTTTCTTTTTTTTTGGCGCCAATTTTCCAAAATGCTGAAATTTAGTCTTCACACATTAATTCATAGTAGACAGAATAAGATTCAAATGTAACAATTAATTATCAAGTTTAGACATAATTAACACAATTGTAGTTTGGTCTTATACCACAAACCTCCCTTTTCAGACTAAAAATAGGCTATTTAGAGAAATTTTGTCCCAAAATGGCTTTCATTTTAAAAGTCGCTCAAAGGTCGACCAGCCCTCCTACACCCAATTGTCTAGCTAAAGCAACTGATCGTAAGTCTACCTTTAATGTCTTTTGCAATCTGATTAAAACACATGCATGCTACCGTCTACATGGAAACTAGGTTTTTCGTCCCATCCCAACGACTAGATGCTGACAAAGAGAAACACACTGGGAAATCCCGAGCAATATACATCTGACGTCATCTAAACATCATACGAAGCAAGCGTATTAAGAAATAGTAAGGCACTGTAACTGACACAAACTATTAAATTACTTGCTTGCACGATTAGTAAATAGAAAATACCATACTATTAAATGTATTTTATATGTGAAGTGTACATATTACAATTGCATTTGTGGTATATTTATTAAATAAGGAGACGAATTAATATAAGCCTTTGGCTTGTTTTTGAATCCTTACCTTTTGACAGTGTATGTATACAATATCTTATTTGAATAAAATATTGTTTAAAGGGGCTAAATCGCTAATATTTGGGACCTAGAAATTGACACAAATGGGTCGCAACGCATATAATAATGTAATGTGAATGTATATAAACTGATTTACATTCAGTCGTTTCTATTTTTACTTTAATTTCTAATCAGTTATGTTCGGCGAAATACGCCAGAAGTCTCAATTTTATGGCAATCTCCAGATAAGAATATGACGTCAACGTTTGACGTAACTTGTAGAATTTGCCTTGCCGAGTCCCTTATTACAAATAGCGCTGAAACGCATCATGGTACACGATTCGTGTACCAATCGTAAAATGTTTATTTTGTCTTAAATATTGGATATCAGAAGTCCATCTTTTCCCGGTAAGATCACAACATCAATGTTGCTTTAAATTGAGAAATAATTTGTGTTTTCAATGTCGAAGATTTTGGACGACACTGAGTTAGAGACTTAGCTACTTTAAATCAAACCCCGAGCAACTTCGTCGGCCAACACCGGGAGAAAACGTGAGATCTCCTGGTTAACGAGGCCGAGCCTTACTGACCGAGCCACCGCGGCTCCCTTCTGTAATAACACCCTCTAGTCATGGATATACGGGCAAATTTACAAACAGGAATAAGTAATCGCCAAACCGTTTAGTTTTAAGTGGGCAAGGGCGGATCTAGTCTCATATCATTGGAAATGGCATTTCCGGGCTTTAAGTTTTCGAAATTTTCCACAGTGATGCAGGACGGAGGGCCTGACAAGGACAGCTGTCTAGTCCTTCGGATGAGACGAAAACCGAGGTCCCGTGTATACATTGGAATGCACGTAAAAGATCCCTTGGCAGTTGGAATTCGATATAAGAGTAGGCGATAGTGCCGCTGCCCGGGCAAAATTTCCCTCATAGCACACTGTATGGCGTATGCCCGTCTTCATTAGCCCAGGTTAGGAGCAGAACAGTAGGACGTTAAACCCCATTTCATTTCATTTCATTTCGAAATTTTCCGGGGGAGGCCACTCTGGCCTGCCGTCGTGCGCTTCGCGCCTTCGGCGCTTGCAGCGTGTGGTTTCTAGAACATCCGATATCACATCTCATTCATTAAGGATTTCACATAGCTCTGAAATCTCAGATCAAAATTTGAACTTTGACACCGATTTATAAATCTAGACGGATGTAATGAAAATCTCAACTAATTCAGAACAGTTACCATTCCAACTGCGCAAAAATAAAACCATGCCAAATTTGTGATAAAAAACAGAAAGAGTTTTGGTTATTTGGGTTAATGAGAAAAATACCCGGCACTCGAGCTCTGTGTTTGGGTTTTTACACCTAAAAGGTTTATTTATTGGTGCATTTTTCATCCATATACTGCGCACACTGTCGACTTACTTTTAAATCTGGGTTATAGGTCAAAGGTCATTATTGGAACCCTTTCCTTGTTAGTGAACAATAATATACCTTAAAACAAGCTACTATTAAACCCTGTCATAGGCAAATCTTTTTTCAAACGGTTTCCAGAAGCCCACTAATTTAGGGAGTGGGATCCAATTCCAAGAGGGCACATTTTTTTTATGTACACGTGACGAAGCAAGGCAAAATAATTTTGGCCCTTTTTAAGACCATCAAAACATAATCTGGCAATATATATATTAAACCCTTTTCTATTCAAAAGAACTGCCCTTATAACCCCGTGGAAAGTAGTCTATGGAAAGTGACCTACATAAAATAAGGAACTGAAATGAGGTTTAACGCCCTACTGTTCTGCTCCGACTGGGCTAATGAAGACGGCATAAAATAAGGAAGGGGCCGCGGTAGTTTCGAGCAATGCACGCGCGACTAGAATGCCTTGGCCGGGATCATTTTCAGAATTGTTCAAGCTCTCCCTTTGGGAATTGAGTACGGGTGCCAAGAGTTGGAGGAAAGACCGCTGTCAAGGAAATATTATCCTCTAAATGCACACGGAGGCATGAAAATGATCATATCTTTGGCTCAAAATGACCGAAGTATATTGTGTCGAGACATTAAACCGGATTCCACGATTCCATTCCCTATGCAAGATCGTTATTTTGCCTGTGACACGTCATTTAGCACTACTTACTTCAGGGAATGGTTCTGACCAGTTCATCTGTCACGTGGTTTTGTTTACAATTCATGTTTCTAAACATTAGAGCACGTGATTCTGTCAGTGCGGGTAATGACGTGTGCGTGAACCATTTTTGGCGCCGAGCCACGTGGTTTGGTTCCTGGGAATGAGTTTACCATTATAACTTAAGTAAAGTTTCTGTGATGTTTTGATCAGTAGGAGAGTAAAATAGTTAGCCCGAGGATAGCATATTATATATTCCAAGTAGTGAAGTACGGCTTCGTAGTTTCTGAATCCGTTTAGAAATCACGTAGTCGTAGTCGTACTCATACCAGAAAAAGGTCGGCGTGACATGTTGAGGTAGAACATTAGAAATCCAATCCATCTTCTAGATAGAGGTAAGTATTTGGTATATTTCTTTGTTATCTACATCTGTACTGTCAGGCGATATCTACACGTATGTGTAAATAGCCTACATCGGTCTCTGTGAGAAAAGGTTACAAGATTGATTATTGCAGGAACTGCGACTGGAACTATATACGAAGAACAAAGAATGGTAAACTTTTTTTCTAATTTTAACATCCTAGCTTCTATTTGTCGTTGAATCAGAACCTTGATTTCCTTAAATACCTTTCAAACAATAATATTGTGGACGTTGAATCTCTAAATCGAGCTGATTCAATTCTGTGTTCGGTTAGTTATTAAGATATGATGGGCTATCTTCTGGGGACCATAAACAGTGCCACCATTAAGTTGTGGGTAAAATTTATCACCTTGATGTTTTGGATTTGGTTTCTTAATGAAATTGTAAATAACAATTTCAGTACATTTTAGCATCCATTAAGTCATGAATAATTAGATAAACTTTTTGTCTGAAAATGGAAATGACATCATCAGCTTTAAATATACCTATAGGGGATAATGCCCTCATGTCTAGACAAATAAATGATTATAAATTGCCACCAATCTTGTTCTTTATGCATGTTTCTGGCAATGTTAAAAACAAATAAGACACTGTTTTATAACATCCCTGTAAACTGATATATGGGATATTACATATACTCCTCACAGTGTTTGGTTTGATTAGAACTAATTGCTTGAGGAATATACAGGATGTATAGAGATAAAACTATCAACACTGAGACAAGGATTAGTGTAGATTATACAACTGATACTACTCAACACAGCTGGTTTCTTGTCTTATATCATATACCACCTGATTATATATACAGCAGCAAAATATAGAACTATTAATACTATAGAACTATTAATACCATAGAACTATTAATACCATAGAACTATTAATAGTAATAATAGAACTATTAATACCATAGAACTATTAATAGAACTATTAATACCATAGAACTATTAATGCAAAAACTTGGTCATTTCCGGAGGACCCAGAGAAAACCCATGATGTTGGACAGACGACCCTACTCCTTGTAACATACAACCGGGGAATCGAAACCACGCCAGTTGACTTAATGACAGACCTTATGATACAGCGTGCACATGCTAACCATTCGGCAATCCAACCCCCTGAACTATTATAGAAGCTCTGCATCTAAATTTTAGATACTGCATCTTTAAAAGCTATAGGTGATATGTTGTCTTTCCGCTTTTCGTTTGCTTGTTATTTAGTGTTTTAACAACAGAGTAGGTAATAAATATTTATATTACACCTGTGTAGGTTTTGTCCAGGTATAAATCTATTATCACCTGGTGTTCAGGTAGACTAGAGTATAATATATTACCACATGGTGTGAATAATGTAGATAAGATTGATAAAGGGTGATGAAAGTCGGATATCAGTAAGATAACAAACAGTGCTAGTAGTAACTTTATAATGTCACAATACAGATCTTATAATATAAAACATATACACGTAAGACATATCACTGGCAAGGATCCAGGCCCATAACTAGGGGTGGGAGCGGGGGATCAGCCCAACCAATGTCACTCGGCTTTATGGGCCACCCATACTGATATGGGCATGTTGGTCATTGGCTTCATATTGCAACCAAGGGAAAGGGTGGGGTTCGGCATCCAGGGGGGCTACCCCACTTCCAACCCCCTAGCTACGGGCCTGGGATCGGGGAGGGGGGAATCCAGATATTTTCAGATCTACATATAGAAATGTTGTACTGACAGTTCGTGACAATTTGTGTGTGCAAAAAGAGGACTACAGGGGGCCTGGAAAAATGGAATGCTGTAAATGCCAATTCCAACTATTTCAGGCTCTGGACCCCCTAATTGAGTCTGGCGGCCATGACAGGGTACACCTTGGATCCCACCTGTATATCATTCACTTAAGAACAGTGCATGATTTCTAAAAATAGAAATATCTGGCACAAACAAATCTGAGTTGTCATTTTATATGCCTAATATTTACTAGTCAGTTAAAATGGTTAGTAATCAAACAGTGGTTATGAAGTAGGTGTTATGACACTAAGTAAGGTGTTGGGCGGGGTTTATGTATACATTACAGGTTACACACCTGCTACTTAATGACTACGGTATAATTTCTAACCTGCTACTTAATTTCTAACCACTTTCTATAAATAGGGCTACTGAAAATTAGTTTAGACTCATGCTTTAATGACAAAACTTTTCAGTGATACATAGAACCTAGCTTTTTCTTTCCATCCGAACAACTAGACATTGTACTGTACCTTGACAGGCCTTCTATCCTGCACCACTGACAAGAGGAAACCACACTGGAAAATCCTGAGGGACTTTCTCCGATCAAACCATGGCTCCCTACATCTATAAGAATCATTGACTCACATATAAAGTCTGTGACAGAAATTCACCATTTTATACGGAAGAAAAAAATACATACATATTCAAGTAATATTGCAATATTAAAATTAATCATAAAAAAGTCTGATTTGTCTACATATAGGACTTGGCTGATGTGTGATCCAATGAATTAATAAAATGGGGTTTAACGTCCTACTTTGCTGCAAAAATCTTGCTAATCAAGAAAGGCATACTCACTGAGCCACTGCGGCTCCTGTAGGTGTGATCCACATAGCCCCTGCCGACCCCCCCCCACCACCCTGATTCAGTGAAAAGTCCTTTTTTTCGGGCAAGGTATTTCTGTTTTTCGTGCACAAACGTCAGAGAATGGGGAACATTGTAAATTTATATTGTTGTTTAATTAATTAAAAATAAACAACCATCACAGCTTTGTGGAAAACTCATTTTAGTTAATGATTGATTCAATCTGAAAATTCAGGTGCCAAAGAAAATTTTCGGCCAAATAGCCTCAGCTCCCCCAACTGAGATTGACTCCCCATGCCTATGGTGATCCATGTATAAGACCCAATCTGATTAAAATACAGATCTATATTTCGTTCCGTTTTTTTATACTTCCGATGGCCTACACTACATGAAGATCTGACCGGTTGCAGCGATAGGTCACGTCAGGGGTCATACGAGTGGCTTTTGACCCTATGACATCAGACATTTGATTAACCAATCCGCTTTGATATTACTAGTGGATTACCCACAGTTCCGTGAAAACACGCCTAAAGCTCGCCGTAACAGACCATTTCATTGGCTAATTCCTCATTCCTTTCAGAAGATGTCAATGATAACAACTCTTCCAGATCCTAGTATAGTAAAGACAAGTAAAATGAAATTTTGAACTATAAAAACGAAACGAAATAGGATCTGTGTATTAATCAGATTAGTATAAGACCATACTGCTGTTTGTTCATGTATAATGTAAGACTTGATTATTCACCTTTTTTCTCATCTTTTTTTGTGTTATATAGAACTTTGTGCTAATTATCTCGTAAAATATGAATTAACAGTAATAAGTACATGTAATTATATCCTACTAAAGTTTATATAATACTGTTAGCTTTAGTTCTCTTTTGATCAAACTATAATTATGTTGTTGGTGGCTAGTAATTAGAAATTATCTATTGAAGGTTCAATAGAAGTGTAACTTAAAGGGCGTAGAACTCTATTCTTTAAAACATTAAAGGATGTATAACTCTATTCTTTAAAACCTTAAAGGATTTATAACTCTATTCTTTAAAACATTAAATGATGTTTGACGGTTCAATAGAAGTGTAACTTAAAGGGTGTATAACTCTGTTCTTTAAAACAATAAAGGATGTATAACTCTATTCTTTAAAACCTTAAAGGCACATATTAATGTAATATAATTGAAAAAGACTGATACACATTCATTTTTTAAATTTTTATTGTAATTTCCAACCATTTATATGTTCAGTGAAATAAGCGAGCTGTCCAAATTGAATGGCAATCGTTTCTGCTACATTAATCCATTCTACTCTTATTTATCTCTTTTGCTTTTTGTCATAATTTCATAGTACGAGAAATAACAACATCAATATTGGTTGAAATGGAACAATATCGAATTCTAATTCATGATTTTATTGTCAAATATTATGAATAAATTTTGAGTTAGAGCTATAGGCCCTTTAAATCTGTTGGCATTTTACCATTACCAATATTGAGGTTGTTTAAGGAGAAGACATGCCATATTATTGTAACTTAATTCTATATACAAACATAAAGGTTCAATGCTTACTTTGCCAAATATTAGTCCATTAATAGAATTTTATTATGAAATATGGTACATGATCTCATGGGCCTCCCTTCCAGACTTTTTTCTTCTTTAGTCCTGTCTGTTGCCGGTGAAAATTATATGTAAATCCTTTACAGTAGATTTTTATAGATTATGGTTCAAAGCTACTTCATTTGGTTCTCCCGATGATGTATCAATGGAGATAGAGAGAGAAATAGGGTTTAACGTCCACTCGACACAAACTAGGTCATTTCGGCTCTAACATGTTTCAATTTTATTTCAATAATTCTTTTGCGCGTAGGGTTCTTTAGTAGTGGGACGAAACCAGAGGACCCGGAGAAAACCCACGTGGTTGGACAGGCAACCCTACTGCTTGTCATGCACAACCTGGCCTGGGAATCGAAACCATGCCAGTTGACTCAATGACAGACCTTATGATACAATGCACATGTGCTTACCATTCCGCAATCCCCCCCCCCCCCAGAAACCAGAGGACCCGGAGAAAACCCACAAGGTTGGACAGACGACCTTTGTCCTTGTCACGTACAACCAGGGAATCATTCCTACGCCAGTTGACTCAGTGACCGACCTTGTGATACATCGCACACACGCTAACCAATCGACCATTTAACACCCCATGTACCAATGGACTTACTTCTGGGTGAGGGGGGGGGGGTTAAAGTAATATTAATTAGACAGGGGGGTTAATGTAACATTAATTGGACAGATGGAGGGGTAAGCTGATATTTTAAGATATAAGAGTTAAAAACTTTCAGTTTATTCATAACTTAATTTACTTCTTCCGTTTGATAATATTCCCATCTCCATTAG